CTTATAATCGGATCTAATCGAGAAGGATAGATCTGGTTTCTGGACGAAACTCGGTAATATAATAATAATAATTGGATCTATTATTCGCAACTAATCGACATATAATTCTCAATATTATTTGTCGGTTTCCTTGCGCGTCTGTTAGTTTGTTATTTACAACAACTTCCACACAGATAAGGGCAAGTTATTTATCGGGAGCTCGATGAACTTTCGACAAAATATCGTGATATAAGGCCAAATATAACAAAGTTCAACCGCATTTACAAGGAACTCAAAACTTTACATCCAAATATGAGTAACAACTCTGATGTAATCAATGAGGCGTTGAGACAGTATGAAGAATCTCAACTTCAAAAATACATTTTTCTTATATCTGTACTTGGTTTGAGATGCGCAATTTTCCGAGATGGTTTCGAAGTTGAAAATTAACTTAGGTACTAAGTAATTTTTTGTTTAAATCAATGTACTTTTTTTTTCTTTGTTTGATTTTTTTTCATTTAATTTTTATTTTAATTTATGTAATGTTTTATTTTAATGAAAATCTAGTGTTTTAATTTTTTAGTTAATTAAAAAATATAACTTATTTAATTAAAAATAAAAAATAGATTATTTTAATGATATGTAGCAATGGATAATATCAAATGTAAAGTTGTAAGATAACTGTGGTGATTAAACGTTTAGGGGTTTTTTTTTTTTTATGAACCAGCAAATAAAATATATATATTAAAAAACCAACCTCTAGCAAGTGATTAGAGGAGGAAGATGAGAATACAAAATGTAGGCAACCGTTTACAAACAAAAAAAAATAGGCAATCACACCATGCTAAATTGCTAACCAATCAATGTTGCCTTTTTTACCCTTATTTTTTATCCACAGGTGAATGATAGATTTGATAATGTCTACCTACTTATAAGGGGACACCTGTTTATTTTTGAAAACTAATATTTTTTTAATGGTCAAATGGTAGGTATAAACCATAGTAAATAATTATTTCGACGAAAGTAACTTTCTCCCTTGAAGCAATGTTGTTGTGACTCTGTTAACGAATGTAATTTACTCTTGTATTCCTAATTTTTTTGTTAACTTTTCTGTTTTGATGAAATCCTATAATTCAAAAAATTTAAAAACAGATTAATAACTAATACATGATAATAATATAATTCAATGCCATTATGTTTCTCGTTTGATGTGAACGTGTTTCTCCTTTTATTTTTGGTGGGAATAAACACAAAAGAAATGATAATGATGTGGGGACGAGTTAGTTGGATGGCTCCTTCGGTCCCTCCCACCAGTTGATAGTAGGAGGCTGCGGAAGGGTATAATCGTAACTTACAATCAACTACAACGTGACTATTTTATCAAAAAAAATCCTTTTCTTTTTGGGCCCCTTTCTTTTTTTGTTTTGGCTTCCACTAGCTAGTCGATGGTAGTAAAAGGTCGAATATGACCCTCTTGTATTATTCAAGATATATTTTTTAAGCAAAAGTTTTAAAATCAATGAAAAATGTACAAGTATTTTGAAAATTTTAACCATTTAAGGTTTTTAGATTATATACGGTTGAATCAATTAAATAAATTTATTTATAGGTATTATGCTATATATTAAGGGCAATTTCTATACCTACCCCAAATATTATGCATCCCCTTGATATAAACATTGTACCTGAGTGAAGGAGTCAAGGATATATTTATAAAAATTTAAGGGTGTGTTTGGTTGTGGAAAATTGTTTTTATTTTCTAAGAAAATATTTTTAGAAAATAAAGTTGAGTTTTTCATTTTCAATTTTCAATTAAAATTTTGGAAAACGGGTTTGGTTAAAACTGAAGGAGTTTTTATTTTCCATCTTAAAAATTTGAAAAACTTTGGAAAACTGTAAAAATCATTTTTCTAATTTACATACAATTTGAAAAAATGAAAATTTTTATTTTCTTGAAAAATTTTAAAAAACTGAACCAACAAAACGCGTTTTCAAAATTTCTTTTTTTCTTGAAAAATTTTCCTAAAAAACTGAATTTTTTTTTTAAATTCAAACGTACCCTAAAAGTTGTAAGAGAATCAAAAGTACCGACAGTATTTTCTGAGATATATGTGAAATCAACTTTAAAAATAAATTAGTTTTTCTGTTTAAAAAAATATATACATGCATATACATAACATATGTTTTAGATTTTAGATAATATTCAATGTTTATCATTTTTATTAGAAATATATATAAGAGAAAAATGGACAGGTATGATGTATTCAATGTTTTTATGCATCTCATTTGTTAAACGATTTAAATGAGCATATAATTAAAATTTCAAAAATCCTTCATTAAATGTTCAGACATAAATTATAATATTAACTTCCACGTAACAGAAAGGACCACTAGCCAGTAGCCACTGTCACTAGATGTGAAGTCAAAAATCAAATTTATTGCTAGTGGTGTGAACAATTCCCAATTCCCGATACTAAAAATGCTTCAAATCTGAAAATATAAATCAATAAATAAATAAATAAAAAGTTAAGGTCAAAATGGTCAATATGGTCAATATGCCGCCATGGACTTTTATGTAATTTTACAAAAACAACAGGGGCATATCCGGAAGAGTCTTGTATATATAGAAAGGACTGACAAGCGAAGTAAACTACCACCAACACATTCGTTTCCAAAATCCATTTCGCAAATCGTAACCGAGAGCCACCGTGCGCCGCCGCCAAATAAAAGTTTATTCAGATGGCCGGAGTAACGATATCAAACGAGATGAAGCAGAGGAGCAGCATCCGAACCATTAACAGTCGTCCGATTCCGGTGAGAGGTCAAGTTAAGGTAGCAATCGTTTCAGGACTAGCTCAATCTCTCGCATCCTTCTTCTCCTTCAATGGTCGCTCGTAATCATCTTAAAATCTCGAATCAAGTTATCAACAAAGTACTCCTCCTCGCGTTTTTAACAATAGGAAGGAGAGATCGAATCTGGTAGAAGTTAGATGGAATCAAATTCATCATTCGTATGTGTATACGCTTTAATTGATGATCTGTTTCTTCGAAGTTTTGTAAATATATGATGTTGATGAATGATGATGATCCTCTGATGTTTTTCTCAGTTTTGTTCAGTCGAATTTTTTAGTTGTTTTAAATAGTACGAGATGTTGAACTGTTGGATTGAATTCATGCCATCTGAATATTTTTCATATCATTTCATTAATTTTTTAAATTTTCTTGAAAATCATATTTCAGATTTCAGAATCTTAAAAGTTTAAAATTTAGACAATAGTTTTAAAGGATAACCAATTATATATTCAAAATGTCATGTTTTAGGGGTGTTTGTTTAATCTTTTTGTAAAAAGATTTTTTACAAGAAGATGTTTTTAAAAATGTGTTTGAATTAGATTTTGAGAAATAAAAGTCAAAAGTTGTTTTTAAAAGGCGTTTGGTTTTATTTTTACATGTAAAATGATTAACAACGATATGCTTATATATTAATAATTATTATTAATTTACATATACTATTTTCTACTTAACAATTTTTTTAAACACATATTATAATTTTGTAAATATTTTATTAGAAAATATAAAATATAGATTTCTTTTAAATATTCCTAAATTTTTTATTATACCATTAAAAAATATTCATACAAATTATAAATAATTCATAAAAATATCATAAATAATATTACATTCGTCTTCGCAATGTGTTTATATCTTGTGCAATAATATCTCGTATTGTTGCCATATATAAATCATCATTACTCGTGCGACGTGTACTTGGACCTTCTTCGTAAACTTCGCTACTAGTATCACTTTGTATGTGATTGTAGGATTCTTGTTGTGCCCTATTAAACGCTTCATCAAACCTACCAAGCTTTCTAATATAGTTATGGATCGTCATCGATGTTATCACAATTTTAACTTGGTTCTTATACTTGTAATTAACATACATGTCTCTTAATAACGCTCACCTAGCTTTCCACACTCCAAAAGTTCGTTCAATGATATTCCGCAATGATGAGTGAAGATAGTTAAATTTCTCTTTCGGTCCACGAGGTTCACGAACAGCAGTCGAGTGTCCACGTCGAAAATCCGGTAAATGATAACGAATATTTGTGCCTTTGTATGGAGCAAGATACCCTATAGTATTTGGATATCCGACATCAACAACGTAATATTTATCTGTAATTAAAACAAACAAATTATTTTTTCCTTTCAAAAAAGTAGTAAAAGTATAAAACTTGTGTTCAAAAAAAATATATACTAACCACCAATTGGATATGGAAAATTAAGATTCGGTCTCTGTAGGGCTTCATTGAAAATTCTTGTGTCATGTGCAGTCCCCTCCCAACCGGCTCATATAAATGTAAAACACATGTTAAAATCACACATAGCCATTATATTTTGTGTTGCATATCCCATTCGACCAATGTACTTCGCTTCCTCGTTTTGTGGAACTGATGCCCTAACGTGTGTCCCATCTATAGCACCAATGCAATCCTTCAAATACAAAAATATATCATAAATAAATCATTTGTTAAAGTTTGACTACTAAAAAAATGAACATTAGATAATACCTTGAACATTGGATAATACCGAGGGTTATTCAATATATATTCAGGAACATCATTATTATAGTTTGCGTCTGACTTGATGATGTCGGCACTCAGTTTTAGCACGGCTTTCAAAACTGTATGGAAATGCCTATGAATTGTTTCCCCCGAATGATTAAAAAACTCTTGCACAAATCTATTGCTACACCCATGAGCCAACGTCAAATTGAATATTCCTACAGAGTCCTCAATAGATATATTTCGTGTTTGTTGTAGCCCGTAATTTGTAGCAAGATCTGCGCATAACTGTCTAAAAACCGGTACGTGCAATCTAAACATCTCATAACACCGTCTAGGATATCCATTTAGTACTTCATTATTAAACATGTGCCCTGTGTGGTCTGAAGTGTGACATGGCATACGTACGTTACGAGCTAGTATTATCCCTTTTAAAGCTAATCCACATAACATTTTAAATTATTTATCCTCTTCCACCCACCATTCTTCATTATCATTAGAAGAATTAGAGTAATCACTATCCATCCTACATAATACAAATAAAAATATGTCAAACAATAACACATAACATAAAGACAAACAATAACACATAATATAAAATGTCACATACATAATGTCAAAGGACAACACATAATGTTAAAACATTGTAAACAAATAATACATATTGTCAAAGCATAAAACATAATGTCAAAGCATAACATAAACGATGCTAAATCATTATTTCATAAGTAACTTAAGGAACCCCATCTTGGCTTTGTCAATCGTTGGAAACATAAAAGCTTCACGGTTTTGCTTTTTGGTGAACACAAACAATGCTTGTGAAAATTCGTTGGACCCTTCACGAAAATCGGGAAACTTGGTAACAATGGCCATGCAATCTGCTATTGTTGGCGAAGGATTATTATGTGGATAAGTTTGTGTGCTTTTTGTTGATATGGCATCCAATAAAGCATCTACTTTTTCTTCAATTACTGAACTTTTACTCTTGGTTGAACGGTTGTTGGAAGCAAGCTTAGACCTTCTATTCTTACTCGAACTACTTTCATGGAAACTAGGAAAAAGCAGCTCAACATCATCATCTAAATTTATATCATCACTATCTCCTTTGCCCTCCACATTTTCTCCGTTTGGATTGCTATTGTTTTGAAACTGTAATGGAGTCATAGTCTGATCTCCAACGGCAACGGAATCTCGAAACAAAAGAACATATTTCTCATCAAATATGCTCAAATCCGCGTTCCTAAATTTTGCATAATCTTTATTCACCTGCAAGACAAAAAGATATTGTAAATCAAATATGCTCAATCTATATGCAATATATATGCAATCATAACTTAAAATAATTACAAAGAATAGTAAATCATACCTTTATTTTCTCCTCCCACCATTCGGGCGATGCATCTATTAGGCTTCTCGTCCCACCGAGTCCGGTTTCAAGCCTCATTAATCGGTCATAAAACTTCCACTCTTTTTTCATATTCTCCCATTTATTTGTTAGTTGTTTTTTTCAAAAATATAACATGTTTTGTCCTTCATATGTTTTTGTATATTCTCCCACCCAACTTTAGTTAAGTGAGTACCGGTTTTATTGCCTTTTCTTACTTCAGTTACACATGAATCAACAAACGCCATGAAGCTACGATTATCCCATCCGAATTTTGGTTTTTTCATTTTTAAAGTTGTTTCACAGTCAACAACAGTGGTGAGGTTTTCGTCCATTATCTGTGAATTTCATATCAACATTTAAACAACAAACAAATTTCATTAACCTTCCTAAATGATTTTGTCAATTTAAACAATTGCTAATCAATCTTTTATATGATTCATGAGCTATAGTTTAGTTAAAACAGAAAAATCAGAACAACAATAGAAGAAAACAACACAAGCCATAAGAAAGAAATTGGAATAATTTTCACAAATGGTTACCTGTTATTAACACAAATTGGTCCCTGTGAACAAAAAATTTCATCACTTTAATCAATATCATTCATATTTCATGAATTTCACTAATAATTATTCAATAGATTATCAATTTCACAGTTGGATTAAAATGTTAACAACACAAACTCTTAACAGGACCGATCCACAAATTGAAGGAACAAATCACATATACTGCTAGGAAAATCGAAATCTAAGGAACAAATCAACATACACAGTGCAAGTAAAAACGAAGGTTTACAGTTTCTTGCTATTCAAAATCGAAAATCAAGACCAAAACAAAACCAAAATTGGAGTAATTTACTTACCTGGTTGGAGAGGGAGAAAGGAGATCGGCAGAGAGGTCGTTGGTCGGCTTGGTGGACAATCGGCGACAACTCTGGATGATCGGCGGCGACCAGAGGTCGATGATGATCGACAGCGAGAAGATCGAGTTGGGGCGGACTAGAACGAGAAGGGCAGAATGTGAGAAGGGACTTCACGGGTATTGATTAGGGTTGGTAGTTGGGGGTATATGAGTCATTTAATTGTGAAAGCTTCAAAAGTTTCAAAAAGTCATAGATACGTGACTTTTCCAAATGCATTAAAACATTCTTTATGAAAAGTTAGTTTTAAAAGATCTTTTACATTTACCAAACATCTTTTACCCCATTTTAACTTTTTGCAAAAGATAAAGTCTAAAAGTTGCTTCAAAAAGATTAAACAAACACCCCCTAATACGAAAGGATTTTAGAAAGAAACTCTAATGTTATTTGGTTTTCCAAATACCATGTCTTCATTTATGTTTAAATACAATATCTTAATAAAAATGTTTTAAGACAGAAAGTTCAATGCTATATATTTCCATCTAACCATAAAGCTATAGTTTTTCATTTAGTTCCATTGTTATAACTACATATAGTTAATACCCACACATATATATGGGTTAGATGTTTAGTCCTAAAATGTTAAAATATTTACTTAATTGTTATTAAATGAATTATGGTTTAATTGGGAACATCAATGTCGTGGAATTATGAAGAATTTTGGTTATAATAAGTATAATGGAAAATTATTTTCATTTCTGCTTTGGGGTTTAATCAGTATTTTTGGAGAATTAATTTGTTTTGGGTGATAAAACACAATCACCCTAAGTGTCTAACTGGAGGGGTTTAAATGAATAAGTAGACTATTATTATTAATTCAGTTAATGATTCTTATTAATTGGGGAATATATAGTTTGAGATATAAAAAGGTAGTTAAAACCCAAGTAACGTGTTTGGGACGAAAAAAGGTGCAGTGAACATAGAAATAAGGTGATTTGATCCGCTCGGAACTATTTTGGATAAAGACGAAATACTGCTGCTAGAACTATGGGTTGAAAGTTGAAACCAAATCTTCAATATAAAACATTAAAACCGCATAAATTATTAGGCTAAAAGAAATTCTTTTTATTAAAAATTTTGATATTTTATTTAAATTGATTTTTTTATGCCAAATATTAGGAATGACAATTGCTAAAAACAAAAAAATAGTACTACAAAGAGAATTATTCAGATGCTTTATTTTTTATTATTAATATATTAACATGTTTTATTTTATATTTATAGAAATTAGATCATAAAGGATTAACAAAAAATAATTACATGGCACCACAAGGAATAAATACAAAATAAGAAATGAGATTTAAAGAAAGTGGGTGTAAATGTCACAGTGTTTGGTAAAAGTAGCTGTTAGCTGGAAATGAGTAGCGGTTAACTGTAGCTTTTATTTATTATATGAATATTTGACAAAAATAACTAGAAGCATTTAAAATATATAAAATAAAATTACATAAAATGATAATTTATTAAAAACAAATAAATATATAAATATAATTTTAAGGGTAATTATGGAAATTGATTTCAAAAGCTCAGTATCGTTTTGTTAAACGTTACATGAAGTAGCTTTTAGAATCAGAACGTTTTGTTAAAACTAAAAGCTAAACGCTCATACTATCAAACGAAACTTTTTGCAAAAGTTAGAAGCTCTCAAACCACACTTACACCCTGTGTTTTTTTTTTTTTTTTTGATGGGTGAAAAATATTAATACAAACTTAGCAAGAAGCTAAGACATGGAAAAACAAGGTACATATTACACTTGAACTCAAAACGGATTGTACATATTACACTTGAACTCAAAACGGATTATAACACTATTGTACCCAATTAACATCAGTTGATTTATCCCTATATTTGTACCACGTAAAAAATAACAAAATCACATCATTCTCGACCTGATTTGCTGTCAAGCAATGTTTTAAAACCCGGGTTTTTAGTTGACCCGGTGTGATGATCGGTTGACGGGTCAACCGGTTCAACCGGTTGAACCGCCGGGTCAACCCGGTTTATGATCTTTTTCTATTTTTATATATTTTTATTTTCATGCATAATCCATAAACATATAAAACCAATAATTTAATTTCCACAAAGTTTAAACATTGAAAAACATTAAAGAAATCGCAAACGACTCGTTGTTTTGACGTTCGATACTTGTATCAAACTATCCAAACTCTATTAAAACGGGTCAATCCGGTTTTAACCGGTTCGACATAGGCGGTCGAACCGCGGTTTAGGGGAAACCCGGTCGGTTCGATCCGGTTCGTATTTTTACAAAAAACCGGTCTCAATTGACCCGCTTTCTACACCGGGTCACGGTCCAACCGGTTCAACCGGCCGGGTCAACCCGGGTTTTAAAACATTGCTGTCAAGTGGCCCTCCTTGGCCTGACCCTCATTGAGTTCCAACTTTGACTTTTGGGTCAATGTGAAATTCGTTTTCTATACAACATTGGGTTGGAAACCATTGATGTGGAGGTAATAATTACTTTTTCTTAAAGCCTAATGCTAGAAATCTTCCAATCTTAATAAAAAATGTAGATGTGATGATTATTTAATGGTTGGGGTATTGATTTGGATGTTATTAGCATTACTAAACACTTCCGTAATGTTACTTGATTCACAAAGTGTTAGAAAAACCCATCACGAAGAGGCGAAAACATACAAGTCGAAGGAGATGAGTCTATGAGATATGATATTCTTATGAGGCCTTACGATATGCGATCGATAAACAACCTATATCAACCCTATTGTCACGATTTTCATGTTCAATTGTTTGGTGAATTAATGTGCATGGAATATAACTATATAAGTGGAAGTAATATAAATAGAATGATAATATTACAAATGATTTGTGGAAGTGATGTAAAAGAAATAATCATAATAAGGTGTGTGGGCTCCCATGGACCCAGGACGTTGGATAAAGACCTCCTCCTACCCACTTGATGGTTGTTATTCTTTATTGTATGGAGGCCGCATAGGGGTATACATTAAATTTTGTAGTTTTTTATTTTTATTTTTTATCTTTTTTATGTTACTAAATGAGTCTTATGATATATATATATATATATATATATATATATATATATATATATATATATATATATATATATATATATATATATATATATATATATATATATAATATTTTAATTTTATTACTATTATTGTTATAAATTTCGTACAAAAGTTTAACATTTGGACGACATTATAAATTCCAACGGTTATATGAAATTGGACATTATAAATTCAAAAAACTTTTTATTATTAATATTATTATTAATATAAAATATTTTATAAACCGGACATTATAAATTCGAACGACTATATAAAATCGGAACAAAAACAAAGTTTATCTCTATTAATTACGGATATTAATTGGTATGATATTACAATTGTGTGATGCGTTATGCGGATTGAAATAATTTAGTCGAACATTATACTATATTTCTAATTTTATATAGTCGTTCGAATTTATAATGTCCGATTTATAAAATGTTGTTCGAAATTAATAATAATAACCATAATAATAATAATAATAATAATAATAATAATAATAAAATATTAAAAAAATATTAAAAAACAATTTTATATAGCTATTAGAATTTATAATGTCGTCCGAATGTTAAAAATTTGTATGAAATTTATAATAATAATAATAATAGTAATAATAATAATAATAATAATAATAAAGTATAATCTACTATAATAAATGAAGGTTTTTTTGTCACATGTCTTCTTCTCATCATTTTTCTAGAATTTTTAAATTTTCTATTTTCCACTTATTATTTTATTGTATTTTTCATTTTATTAAATTAAAATTCCATATTTAATGTGTAAGGTAATATATATGTAAAGTATTTATTAGAAAAAGTTTATATATGTAATGTATTCAATACATTAAAGTCTCATTAATTTTAATAATTCAAATTTTTTTCATTTTTCTTATAAATTCAAACTTTTCAAATTGTTAAAATTATATATACATATATATATATATATATATATATATATATAAATCCATGTAATACATGGGTCTCACACCTAATCTATTATAATAAATGAAGGTTTTTTTTTATCACATGTTCTCTTCTCATTAATTTGGACACATAACATTTTCTAGAATTTTTAAATTATTTATTTTCCACTTGTTATTTTATTGTATTTTTCATTTTATTAAATTAAAATTCCACATTTAATATGTAAGGTAATATATATGTAAGTGATTTATTAGAAAGAGTTTATATATGTAATGCGTTCAATACATTAAAACCTCATTAATCTTAATAATTTAAAAATTTTCTTATTTTTCTTATAAATTAAAACTTTTCAAATTGTTAAAATTTCATATTTAATTTTTTTTAAATAAACTCATGTAATACATGGGTCTCACACCTAGTCTTTAATAAATGAAGGTTTTTTTGCCACTTGTCACACTCTCATTCATTTTGTCACTTATCATTTTGTGGTTATTTTGAATTAATTTTTATTCCATATGTAATTTTGTGGTTTTCCTATTTTATTAAATTCCATATTGTATTTAAATTTAATAATAAATGCATATCAATTTCATTAATGGACTTTCCTTATAATTTCAAAATTTTAAAATAAAATCTCATTAATTTGCTTTGATTATTTTATCTAAATGATTTGTTTAATTTAAAAGAAAAAAAACATTTTAATTTTAATAATTCAATTTTTTTTCATTTTTCTTATAAGTTCAAATTTCTCAAATATTTATACATATTTAATTCATTAAAATACACTCATATAATACATGAGACTCACACCTAGTAATAATAATAATAATATAGGTATTCTAATTTAATGTTTGATGATTTCATTCGTACATTAAAAAAGGAATCTTCTTTAAACAAAGAAATAATTTATTGGTGTGTCCCACGTGTATGTTTTATTCTTAATTACATTAGGATTTATAAATTAAATCTTGGGGTGTGTCCCACGTGCATGTTTTATTCATTAGGATTTATAAATTAAATATTGGACTTAATATATATATATATATATATATATATATATATATATATATATATATATATATATATATATATATACACACTAGCCGTCTGCCCGCGCAAAGCGGCGGACGGCGAATAATTTGATATCTTTAGAGTTAAAACCATTTTGCGTTCACTTCGAAAAATGAATATTAAATAACATCTATTTTTGAAGAGCATTATCATATCATATTAAGGGGGTGTTTGACTAAGCTTTTTTTAAAACAACTTATTAGGTTCCACATCACTATAAGTTAAAAAAAATATTTGGATTAAAATAACTTATTCTGGTGGGGAACCTCTAATACGTCATTTTTTCGTAAGTTACTCTACACTTACTTATTAACTTATAAGCTAATAAACTAATAAGCAATAAGCTTTTCTGCCAAACACCCCCTAAATGGT